AGTACCCAGAGGCCACTGGTGCAAGTTCCAGAGTTCAAAGGCTGAAGAGCTTGTTCCAAGGGCAGAAGAAGGGTGTCCCAGCTCCAAGAGAGAGTGAATTTGCCTTTCCTCTGGCTTTTAGTTCTATTCGGGCCCCCAGTTGATTGCATCGTGTGTCTGCCCACATTGAGGGCAGATCTTCCCCACTCCGTCCACAGACTCATCTGCCACTCTGTTCCAGAAATCATGCTCTACCCACCATCTAGGTATCACTCAATCCAGTCAAGTTGACAAATCAAATTAACCATCACAAAACTATCATTTTATTCTCATCGAATTTAATAATTCTGGGACATTTCTGGGACAGTCCCTGGCACCCTGGTGCTCTGTAAGTACTAATTTTCCTTACTTCTTTCTTTTTTGGCCCTTCCACAGAGTCAGCTCTAGCTCTATTCATGCTCCCCAATGAACTATATCTTTAACAGTCTTGGCCCAGCCCTCTGAGCACTCTGGTTTCTTGCTTTTCCTTTCTTTCTTTCTTTTTTTTTTTGAGATGGAATCCTGCTCTTAAGTTCAGTGGTGCAATCTCAGCTCACTGCAACCTCTGCCTCCCAGGTTTAAGCGATTCTCATGCCTCAGCCTCCCAAGTACCTGGGATTACAAACATGTGCCACCAAACCTGGCCAATTTTTTGTTTTTGAGACGGAGTGTTGCTCTTGTTGCCCAGGCTGCAGTGCAATGGCATGATCTAGGCTCACTGCAACCTCTGCCTCCTGGATTTCAAGTGATTCTCCTGCCTAAGCCTCCCAAGTAGCCGGGATGACAGGCGCCTGCCACTATGCCCAGCTAATTTTTGTTATTTTAGTAGAGATGGGTTTTCACCATGTTGGCCAGGCTGGTCTCGAACTCTTGATCTCAAATGATCCACCCGCCTCAGCCTTCCAAAGTGCTGGAATTATAGGGGTGAGCCACCGCGCCAGGCCTCTTGCTTTTCTTTATTTCCAATAAGATCCTTGTAAGAGCAAACTCCGCCAAACAGAGAGGGTGAGTGAGCTATGCCCAATCACCTGAGCCTCTCATTACCTGCCCAGATGGGTCCTACATCTTGTGATTGCCTCTTCCAAGCACAGAACCCCCGGAATTTGCCATGCCAAGCTTTCAATGGCAGAACAATTTTAATGCATGCAAGGGAAGAATGTTGGGTACACATTTCACTGTCATTTCTGTAAAGGGATGGCAAGAGGGACATGAGTGGAGGAGCTACAGATTTTGCCAAGGTAAATGGCCGCAATGTTTTTTGGCCCCAAGGGTGGGTGAGAAAGAAGATGGTGGTGGATATGGGAGGATGGCCTGAGTGATGGCAGATGTAAAAGCTAGGACACTCTTGGCTGCAAGAACAGAAACTGCAACCCAGAGTTGCTTAAACAATAAGGACAGTTTTTGGGTCACATAACAGATAGTTCTGGAGTAGATCCTTCAGGGTTGGTTTATCCAGTGCTCAGCAATGTCATCAGAGATCCAGATTCTTTCTCTCTCTCTCTTTCCTTCCTTCCTTCCTTCCTTCCTTCCTTCCTTCCTTCCTTCCTTCCTTCCTTCCTTCCTTCTTCCTTCTTTTCCGTTCTTTCTCTTTCTTTTGACAGAGTCTTGCTCTATTGCAAAGGCTGAAGTGCAATGGTGCTATCTCAGCTCACTGCAACCTCTGCCTCCCAGGCTCAAGTGATTCTCGTGCCTCCGCCTCCTAAGTAGCTGGGATCACAGGCATGTGCCCTCATACCCAGCTAATTTTTGTATTTTTAGTAGAGACAGGGTTTTGCCATGTTGGTCAGGCTGGTCTTGAACTCCTGGCCTCAAGTTATCTGCCTGGCTCAGCCTCCCAAAGTGCTGGGATTACAGGTGTGAGCGACCGCACCCGGCCAGATGTCCAGATTCTTTCTATTTCTGCCCTGCCATCCTCAGTGCTGGCTTTCTCCTCAGGATGCTAGCCAGGAGGTTGTGGCAGCTATGAATGTCACATCCAGGCACAACAATTTCCACACAGAGAAATGGTCTCTTTCTGTAATGCTAAGAGGTGAAACATCTCAGAGTGTGCCCCCAACAACTGTCCTCTCATGTCTCATTGCTCACTGTTGGGTCATGTGTGCACTCCCGACAAAATCTGCATGGGCAGTGGGATTGGTCACTCCTCCAGATGGGATGGAGATCAGCATTATCCTAGCAGTGGACTAGTGGGGTATTATGGGCTGAATAGTGTTCCCCCTGCTAAATTCATCTGTTGAAGCCATAATTGAAGTGCCTCAGGATATGACTGTATTTGGAGACTGGACCTATACAGAAGGGATTGAGTTTAAAATGAGGCTGTTAGGGTGGGCTCTGATCCAATCTGACCGGGAGGCTGAGTGATCTGCCCTCCTCAGCCTCCCAGAATGCTGGGATTACAGGCATGAGCCACTGTGCCTGGCCTATATTTGACGTTTTAAACTGGAAATGCTGGTGAGGTAAACAAGTGGAGATATCTAGTAGAAAGACAAAAATATAAGTTGGATTTCAAGAAATTTGGGAGCTCTCAGTGCTGATGCAGGCAACCAACACCATGAAAACAGAGATGATTTGTGGGAGAAAATTTTCATTTATGCAGAAAAGAGGCCTGATGGCTGTGGACACCTGTTGAATATTTCCATATTTGTGACTCCTGTGGGAGTCACAAATTCAGCATGTCCAAAATGGAATTAATCATCTTTCCACCAAACCTGTTTATCTTCTTGACTTCTGTAGCTGGGCACTGACCATTATCTTAGTCATCCTAGCTCGAAACCTTGGCTATCTTTGTCTCCTACCTTGACTTTTTACACAATGTTTCACCTATAGAAAATTCTGAAAATACACACACACACATACACACACACACACACACACACGAGATATAATCATTGATAATGAAACTTTTGGATGTTGTGTAGTGTATTCTTCTGGTCATACGCCTATGCAAGTATAGATTTAATTTCCTTTGTATGTGACTCATACTCTACATGTTTAATCTTTTTATTGAAGTATAACAGTCATTCAGAATTGTACACAATCATAAGTCAGTGGCTTTTCATGTCATTAAATATTCTTTTGCAACACCAATTTAAAAAAGTTGCAAGGTATTCCACCATAGACGTACCATCATTCAGTTAACTAATGCCTGTTATAGAACTTCTGGCTTTTTCTAGTTTCCTCATCTCTCCCTCAAAAATGCTGCAGAGATAATTTACCTATATTTAACATTTTTGTGCCTATTTTCAATTTTCCCTTAGAATAAAATTCTTAGGGAAAAATTTCTGGGACCAAGGCATATGCATATTGTAAAATATTTTTTTATTTTAGGATAGTTTTAGGTGTAGAGAAAAATTATGACGATACTACAGTTTCTGTATAATCCACACAATTTCCCCTATTATTCACTCTTTTTTTTTTGAGGAGTCTCGCTCTGTTGCCCAGGCTGGAGTGCAGTGGCTCTATCTCCGCTCATTGCAACTTCCACTTCCCTAGCTCAAGCTATTCTCCTGCCTCAGCCTCCCAAGTAGCTGGGATTACAGGCATATGTCACCAAACCCGGCTAATTTTTTGTATTTTTAGTAGAGAGGGGGTTTCTCCATGTTGGCAAGGCTGGTCTCTATCTCCCGACCTCAGTGATCTGCCCACCTCGGCCTCCCAAAGTGCTGGGATTATAGGCGTGAGCCATCGCGCCTGGCCCAATACATTATTATAGTTGATACTTTATCCAGTTTTCCTTAGTTTTTACCTAATGTTCTTTTTTAAATTGCAGTGTCACAGCCAGGATACCATATTACATTGTCATGTCTCCTTAGGCTCCTCCTGGCTCTGAGTTTCTCAGACTTTCCTTGCTTTTGCTGACCTTAACCATTTTGATGAATACTGATCATGCACTCTGCAGAATGTCCCTCAATTCAGGTTTGTCTGATTTTTCTTTTCTTTTCTTTTTTTTTGAGATGGAGTTTCGTTCTTGTTACCCAGGCTGGAGTGCAATGGCACGATCTCGCTCACCGCAACCTCCACCTCCTGCGTTCAGGCAATTCTCCTGCCTCAGCCTCCTGAGTAGCTGGGATTACAGCCACGTGCCACCATGCCCAGCTAATTTTTTGTATTTTTAGTAGAGACGGGGTTTCACCATGTTGACCAGGATGGTCTCGATCTCTTGACCTCGTGATCCACCCGCCTCGGCCTCCCAAAGTGCTGGGATTACAGGTGTGAGCCACCACGCCTGGCCTGATTTTTCTTTTCTTATAATTAGACTGGGGTTATGAGATATGGAAGGACACTATCATAAAGTGCCATTCTCATTACATATCATTCCACATACTATCAACATGATTTAGCACGTACTCTTGGTCACCTGGCTGAATTACTGTTTGCCAGGTATCCACTGTAAAATTACTCACTTTCCCCTTTTCATATGTTGTACTTTTGGGAAAGAAGTCAATATGCAGAGCCCACATTTAAGGAGGTGGAATTTATGCTCCAGGATGGTGTGTCTGCATACTTTGAGATTCTTCTGTGGGGGATTTGTTTCTTCTCCAATCTTTAATTCATTCAGTCGTTTATTTATATCGGTATGGATTCACGAATATTTCTTTTATACTTTGAGTTATAATCCAGTATCACTTGCTCAAGGCAGTTTGTAATGTTCTGAGTAACTCAGTGCAAAACAACCCCTCCCAAAGGTTGTACCAGCTCACAGGGCAGATGTCATTAAGATCCATTTCCCCTCAACTTCGCACACCCTTTATAAAGGTCAGAAAGCAAGGGGGAAGCTGACAACCCTCCCTAGCGTCAATTTCTGGACGCCCCTAAGGAAGATGAGGCCAGCCTGCTGGAGTAGTTCCCAACATGGGCACCTCAGCCCCTGAGGCGCCCTTTCCCGGCCAGCCCCTATTCACCATCCTTCCTTGGTCCCTGCCCCATCTCCCGGCTTCCTGCAGCCCCGCCCACCTCAGGGCGGAAGTGGGTGTGGCCAAGGGCGGAAGCACTGGGTCGGGGGCCCGCTCTTGCAGCCAGCCCCACCCACTCGCCGCCGCCCCACCCCTCCGGCCCAGAACGGAAATGAGGTCAGAGAGGGAAACCCCGGCGGTGAGAATCGGCCCAAAAAGCGGCGGCCGTTCGAGGTGGCTGCGGCAGCTGGTGAGGGGGTGGAGTGGGTTGAGAGTGTTGGGGTCCTGAGGGCTAGGGCCCTAGGGGATCGGATCGCCAAGCAGCGGCTGAGCGGCTAAGGGCGTCTTGGGGCTGCGGCAGCCGGTCGGAGGGTGAGGGTGGTGGGGCCTTGCTTTTTCAGGGCCCATGTCCCTATCCCTGGGGGTGTGGGTCGGACAGTCTCCGGGGCCACAGCCCCCTTTTCCCCTTTCTTTCTGCCTCTCTGGGGCTGGCGGCGGCATGAGGGCTTGGGAAACGGGCCATGGTCGCTCCAGCCCTCAGGGACGGGCCGGGGCGTGGTGGAGAGTCCTTCGAAAACAGTTTTTCTCACATACGTGGCCATGTTGCGACCCCCGATCCCGGAGGGAGCTCAGTCGCTACGACTTCCATTTTGGCAGTTTCTGCTCTAGAATAGCCGAACCCCGTCCTTGGTGAGCCCAAATGAGAAGTTGTCTCCTGCCTCTCTCATCTCCTACTCCGCCCCTCACTTCCACCCTGCTCCTGCCTCTCTTCTTACTTGCTGTCCGCAACTACCAGTTCCTTCCTGTGCGTGACTCAGCCTCATCTCTACCCGGGTGCATGCCTGGTCGCCGAGTCCTCTCGAGAGTGTGCACTCGACTGGAGATGGGAGCCCTAGGGACCTTCTGTCACCTACTGTTCGAGTTGCAGGCTTTGATGCAGGAAAGGATTCTGCACAGGCATTCGACTACTGACTTCGTTCCCTGTTCAAGTTTGTGCTGTTCTGAGGTTTTTGTTTGTACTTTTGTTTTTGTATTTTTGTCGCCTGAGTTTTTAAAGCAGTAATTCTTTATTAGGGAAGTGGATTTAGGCATGCTGTTCCCACTTGTTTCTCTATTTTGGTCTTAGGGACAGTTGTCTCCCAAACCTCAATCATGGCATTTTTAACCAGCTCCCCCCCCCACCATTTTTTTTCTCCTCTTTTCACAGGTGTTGATAAATCACTTCTTATTGCTTACAAGAACTTGGCCTTTTAAAAGTGTATGTGCCTTTGGACAGTTTGAGAAGCTTTGTTTGTATGGCAGTTTTGGAAGTAGGTGTCACCATTGCTCCTAAAGGTGTGGCAGATAAGCCAGAGGACTGTTTTCCTACCTTTAAATTCATTGACGTAGGCACGGCATGAAAATAGTATTTAGAAAACGCTTTGCAAAGTGAAAACTGAATGAATGGAAATATGGTCAGAGTGGCACCACATAGAATTTTAAGCTCTAGTTTTGATCTTGAAATACTTTGGGCACAGGGGCAACGAAAAAAGTGCTAAAAATTTAATATGTATTTAATTAGGTGCTGTACAAATTATATTAAACATTTCCCCTTAAGAGGGAATTTTGAAGATTGCTCCTACTGCTCTCGTTTCTTGAAATGTTTGCCTCTGAAGTGACTCCTGAAGTGTGATGTTTGGTTTGAGGATGGATAGAAAAATAAAAAATTTTGGAAAGCAGTTCGGCCAGAAATCTTAGAAACTTCAACTTATCCCTGTCATTTCAGCTGCTGTCGTATCATTTTTTTCCTGTGATTGTGTGGCACTGAAGCACATAAGTAGGATGAACATTTATTTTCTGAAGGATAGGAAAGGGGCTTAAAAATTGTTAATTACTCAGAAATATATGACATACTATATAAGGTTCTATACCTGGTAGCTTTCAGGTGGTAGTTGCTACTAGAATGGGTGCAAACGTAGTCTATTCTCCTTTCTGACTTCAAACCTGGGCACCACAATTTCTTGGATCACAAAAACTGCAGTCTTCTTTAAAGGGTGTCACTAAGTTGTCTTTCTGCCATGGCCATTGAAGGCAGTGACCCCAGGCCAAAGAGCAGTTTTTTATTCATTCTTAATACTCGTTGAGACTGTGTCCTGCTCTGTGTTTCCACAGCTCTGCTGTGATTTTGAAGTTGTGTGTTTTTCTACTCCTGTCTAATGACAATCTCTAATCTTTCTGGATCTCATCATTAGGTAATTCAGTGACACGTTTAATTGGGGAAAGAGAGACGGGTCTAGTTCCCCAAATTTGTTTTGGGTCCTGTCCCAGTTGTCATCTGGTGAGCAGGTTTTTGTGCTTAAGGATATGTTGACTTCAGTCATTTAACAAGGGACAGAACACCTATTTTTAGTGACTTAAGGAAGTGGTAGGAACAGAATCTAAGTGTAGCCAGATGAAAGGTGACTTATTTTGTTTAGGCAGGCAGAACTATGGACTACTATGATCTGTTTTATCAAATTATTCCAAAACAACAGATCTTTCAGGCTCTCTTTTTCTTTTTCTTTTTTTCCCCTCTGAACTTCCTTTTGGGAGATGTGGCCTCATGGATGAGCTGGTACACGACTTAGCATCAGCCTTGGAGCAGACATCTGAGCAGAATAAGCTTGGTGAGCTGTGGGAGGAGATGGCCCTGAGCCCCCGGCAGCAGAGGCGGCAGCTTCGGAAACGCCGAGGTCGGAAGCGTCGTTCTGACTTCACTCACCTGGCAGAGCATACCTGCTGCTACAGCGAGGCCTCTGAGTCAAGTCTGGATGAGGCCACTAAGGACTGTCGAGAAGTGGCTCCTGTGACCAATTTTAGTGACTCTGATGACACAATGGTAGCCAAACGACACCCAGCTCTCAATGCCATTGTTAAGAGTAAGCAACATTCTTGGCATGAATCTGACTCCTTTACTGAAAATGCACCTTGTCGACCACTCAGACGCAGGCGGAAGGTGAAGCGAGTGACATCAGAGGTGGCTGCTAGCCTTCAGCAGAAGCTGAAGGTGTCAGATTGGAGCTATGAGAGAGGCTGCAGGTTCAAGTCTGCCAAGAAGCAACGTCTGTCCCGCTGGAAGGAGAATACTCCTTGGACCTCATCAGGCCATGGGTTGTGTGAATCAGCAGAAAATAGGACTTTCCTAAGCAAAACAGGAAGAAAAGAAAGGATGGAGTGTGAAACAGATGAACAAAAACAGGGCTCTGATGAGAACATGTCAGAATGGTGAGATCTCCCTTACTAAGTCAAAGATTTTCTTCGTTAATTTTACCCAAAGTGCACATCCGTAGTCTTATGGGCTCTACCTTCTTTCAAACCAGCCACCCTAGTATTGACTTTGAAGCCTTCCTTGAATCAATCAGTAGTTTAGCTTTTTAAGGTACCATTCATGAGTCTATTTCCTTCTGTCAGGAAGGAGACACAATTGTTTCTAAAAACTGTTTAAAACACATACCTCAAATGCACAACTAATAATTTTATGTAAAAAAAATTTGCTGCTTATTATGCCATGTAGTTTGTACATAAATATTGTTCTTTAGAACTCAGGTTTCAGCAGAGGCTGGTATGTGAGTCTGTGAGAGAGAAAATGCTAGTGCAAGGCATACCGAGTTTGTAAATGTTCTGTTAAGTTGCCTGTCCCCATTAAGAATCATGGCTTTAGATACTTTTTGGCTATAATTTTATTCTCTGCTACTTGTGGTTTGACTATATTGAGTTTATTTTTTTATGGCTGGCGTTCAAGTCATCTGAACACGTGGTGGGCTTTGAAAATAACAGTGCCAAGTCCCATTAGTCTTCCATCAAATGTGATCAAGCCAGAAAAATTTGTCTCTAATGGGTGCATGTTTAAAAATGTAAGTGTAGTTTTGGTGACTTTTTATTTTTTACATCTCAGATAGTTCTAGGAACATTGATACTGATTATCTTTTTCTTAATAGTGAGGATTTGTTGGTGTTTTGTATGGGACAATTCTTTATGGTGCATTGCAGCGTATTTTAGCATCTCTGCATTGTTCACACCCCCTGTTCCTTTATGAACCCAGAAGCCTCTGGGGTGATCCCTAGGTGGGCTGAGTACAAGCATTTGACAACCAGTGTATTCTATTACTGTTAATATTAGTTGGCATTTGTTAAGCACTATGTGCCAGACACTGTACTATGGACTTAACATATACTATCTCTCTTTTTTTAACAGAGTCTCGCTCTATCACCCAGGCTGAAGTGCAGAGGTGCAAATTTGGCTCACTGCAACCTCTGCCTCCTGGGTTGAAGCAGTTCTCCTGTTTCAGCCTCCTGAGGAGCTGGGACTATAGGCATGGGCCACCTTGCCTGGCTAAGTTTTGTATTTTTAGTAGAGACGGGGTTTCACCATGTTGGCCAGGCTGGTCTTGAACTCCTGACCTCGTGATCCACCCGCCTCGTCCTTCCAAAGTGCTAGGATTACAGGTGTGAGCCACTGTGCCCTGTTGGACTTAACATGTACTCCTATTTAATGTTCACAATTCCACTATATGGTGGACACCACTATTTATTTGTATTTATAGAAGGGAAGTTGAGGTTATAAGAGCTTAGATAATTTGCCTAAGGTCATCCAGTGCCAAAACTGAGAATCAAGCCCGATTCCAAAGTGCATTCTTAACTGCTAAATTGTGCTGCCCTTTAAGTCGTTTTGTCTCAATTTAACTTTCCCAGTTGCAGGACATATGACCTTCCTGAAACTTGTCTTAAAAACCAAGGTGTTAATCTTAGGAACTCTGAGGTGAGGCTGTGTCAGTAACAGGAAAAACTGTTTAGGTCTGTATGCCTGTACCTCTCATGGATGGTTTTTAATCCAGCTTTTAAACTTTTTCTTATTAACTTTATATTTGCCCCTCTGTAAATTATATTGAGATAAGCTCATAATTTGACTTTCCTAATTTTCCTCTAATGTCTAATTCCCTTTAAGATTTATACAATTTATCTGTATATATTTGGATTATAAAGATATTTTTTCCTCAGACTATTTTTAATCAAACAAGAAATGCATAGTCAACTTGTAGCCTTTCACACTATTGAAACCCTCTATCAAGACATTCAAGTTTGTTTTAATATTGAGCATATATACCAAATAGAAGTCCTCTTAGTGTTGAGAATGGTGATTTTAAAAGTAGCCTTTTGGGATGATAGCCTTGTGGTATGTTTCTTCCCCAGAATTTCTTGTTAAAGTACGACATAATTGTGTGTGTGTGAGAGAGAGACTTAACTCTGTCTGCTCTGAGATAACAGCCCAAGTATGTGGCTCCAGATGCAGAGCCTGTAATCCAGCAGTGAGATGCTTCACCCTTTTCTGTTCCTTCTTACTCCAGACACATCTGTTGATCATTCTAGTCAGGTTGTGATAATATAAATTCTAGTTATCTGAGGGTCTGGATAAACGTAAGTGGATGGGAATTCTTATGAAATTTTTACTCTTTTCAAATTGAGGAGACCTCATTCCCCCGTTTGGGCTATTACCCTGGCCCCTCACTTCAGAGTAGGCTTGTAGCTTTGAAGGAATAATGGCTGGAGTGGTAGTTCTAAATTTCCCTACTTGTCTCAATTCATCTGTGGTTACAAACAGAAATGCTTTGTATTTATTTCCTCCTAGATTCATTCTGTGAGGAAAGGCAGTGGTTCTTACTCTTTGACTGCATGTTGTGTTCAGCCCCTCCTCAACAGGAGAGTGGGACTAAAATCTTTTCATATTCAAGTTGCCGTTGATTATTAGGCACATCTTTAAACAGGGCTAGCGCTAGAGTGTAAGTAGATAATAGTTTATTATTTCGTTATTATACTGTCTTGGTGAGTTGATTCCGTCAACATTTTTCTTCTTTTTTTTCCCCCTACATTTTTAAAAGAAATACTTTCAAGAATCTTCTTGGTTACCCTTTCATAAATCTGCTTGGCTGTATCACTGTTTATTCACATACAGATCAAAATGTAGAATCTTAACTTTTTAGCGGTGGTATTGAGGGTTGTCAGAGTAATGATCCACATTGTAAGATTATTAAGATGAAGTTGATTGTTAAGCTTTGCTTAGCCTAGTCAATGGTAGAGGTTTTTTTTTTTAAAGCATGAATTAGGTGTTTTAGATTTAAAAACGTATGTCTCAATCAGCTTATTTCTAATTTCCTTAAACTCACTCTTTGCGAACTAAACATGGAGTAGTTACAGACTTCATCAATATTGGTTTGCTTTTCTCTTTCTGGTCTTCCTTTAATATTACACCAACCAATCCCTCACAAGTTCTGAGAGTTATAAAATGGTTATAGTGAAATGATTTTTTTTCTGCTTGTGTAGAGATCAAACTATTTTAATATTTTTTCTGTGTATGTGTATGAGTATTCTAAAGTAGAACAACTATTGTAAAATTATTTGTTTTTACCTATCTTTATTCAAATTGTATAGCAACTTTTAATAGCTATTAGCTATTAGGTGACCGTAGCCTAATTTTGCTCTGTTCTTCACTAACACATTGCTTGTTTGTGCCCCTTGAATATAGTTTAGCTTCTTTTTCTTTCATAAGTGAGTTGGTTAGGTGATGGCCAGAAGTCACATTCAGGAGCCTTCCTAAGGTGATGTATTAGAGGCTGATCTCACAGGAAAGAAAATATTCTCCTCTCTTGGAAGGCAAGTGACAGAGATAGAGTGCTAAACCTACCCCCTCCTTCTGCAGCCCAGGCTGACCTTCTGCGGCCCCTTGGTGCCTCTTGTTTTCTTATTTTTATAGAAAATCAATATCCTTTCTGACACAAACAATAGCTCAGAAGCAAGAATAAATGGGAGAAAGCTGAGATCTCTGTCCATCACCTCTCACTTTAACTCCCCCAAACTCTTTAATTATGAGCATGCTTTGCTCCAGGTGCTTGTGACAGTGAAATTGCTAAATGAGGACCATTTTAACCAAAGATTGGGTGATCAATAACACTCTATAGCGGTAGCTTGTTGGATCAATAGCATTCATTATTTCATGGTTAAGGTAAGTAGCCTCCTTTGCAAGTGGAGGTCATTAATCAGGGGTTACTGAAGCTGTGGAAAAGAATATGTATGGTAGGTGGGGATGTTCTCTTTTCTGTAAGTAGGGATGCTGACCAAGAGTATATTTACCATTGTTGCAATTGGTAGTATTGCATGTGAGAGTATGGAATAGCTAGCACAGTGTGCTTATGTGGATATATTCACAGTTCTGTTAGTATCCTTAGGAACAACTGAAAAACACAGCTTAGGAGGTAGATATGATACTGTCATACTGGAAAGTCCATGTCTATGTCTTGAAAGAAAAATCCATCTTTTAAGAGGTAAAAGTGTCTACCTCTTAAAAGAAATGTTGGGATTATTCCATGTGACTCCAAAGGACAGAACTAGGACTCAAGGATAGAAAGCACAGAGTGTTAAACATTTCCACTGTATAAAATACAACATTCTAACAATTAGGACTGTAAAAATGAAGTGAATTGTTTCACCGTGTAATGCATAATGACTTCTAGATCGGTCGGGGGATTCAAACATGGGCTTGATGACTGCTTACTTAGTCGCTGTGGAGTTAAGAAGGTTGATCTGAAGACTTCTGAGATCCCCTTTGTAACACTGAGATGCTGTAATTCTTTTCAGTTACAGTCTACCTCCCCCACATTGTAACATCTTACCTGGTAAGTAGTCTCAATTGCCCACTGGCAGGCATCTTCAAACATTCATTATTTCTCTGAACATTTAGAATGATACTGTCTTTTCTCTTGTTTTGCAGAATTTGTTCAAAGCCCTCTTGGTATTTGCCAGCAAGGGTGCATAGATTACCCTTGGTCCCCTTCTCTACTCCCATGGACATAGGTAACATGCCATTCTCAGATCTACAGCTGGCCAAGAGGATATGTAGATCCCCTAGCCCAATTCCTAGTGCTATTGGGAGGCTTTTATCTTATACAGCTATGCTGGACTGGAGTAGTATCATCTAACTCTCACTGCCCGATTCTGACCCCATTCCAGGAATTGTACTAGAAAACACTACAATTTCCAGAATGTACTATCTCCAGAATGCACTTCTCTACCCATGTCAACTGGAATCTTTATTCTTGAAGACTATACTTTCTAGGACTCAATACCCTATAACGGCTTCCTACCCAAAAACACACAGAAATACACACAGGAAACACTAAGCTTCCCTATCCAAGTGTACTCTGGGAGTCACAGCCACCAAATAGAAACTGAAAGATACTCAGTAGGAAGAGAAGGATGGAACGACATGCTGCCTTAAACTGCAGCTACCTGATTTTCTGACTGAAACCAGCCTTGCATTTCTGAACCGCAAGATGACCGTAGAGAAAAGATGCAGGGGCTTGCTATCTACCTTCAGGGCAGGCCCGGCACTTCTAATGTGGGGCTCCATTTCATTGTCGAGTGCAGTTCGGTCAGCCTCGTAGTCTGAGGAGATCTTGGCAATAGACCATCTGTATTCTCTACTGCTGCAGAAAAAAAATCATCCTAAAACTTAGTAGCTCTAAATAAAGAGGCCCAGCCTGTGAGTATGTAACTATTCCCAAGGAAGAAACCAAAGTGCTGCAGAAAAAAAATAATTTCAAAGATACAACTGAAGATAAAAAAGTCTTCTTGAATTGAAAAATTAGGTCTAATGGGAGGAGACCTCTACTGAGACATATCTTTTTAAAAAATATTTTATTTTATTTTATTTTTTTTTTCACACATGCTGAGGACTAAGGAAGGAAAAATCTTAAAAGGGGTTGAAGGCTGGGTGCAGTGGTTTGGGTCTGTATTCCTAACACTTTGGGAGGCTAAGGCAGGAGGATCCCTTGAGCCCAGGAGTTCAAGACTGCACTGAGCTATGATTACACCACTACATTCCAGAGCCTGGGCGACAGAGTAGGACTCTGTCTCTTAAAACAAAGTTGGAGGTGGGGCATGAAAATAAAACTGACATTCATCCCTAAGGTAGTAAGTGTTAAGGGCTACATTTGCCCATAGCGTTTTGAGAGGGAAAAAGGTGACTCACCCCACCCTGAATTTTATATACAGTAGAGGTATATTTCATATGGAAAGGCAGCAGAAAGACATTCTGAGATATGCAGGTTCCAGAATCCATGCTCTTTAAAAACACACTCTAAGAAGACATTTCATCTACCTAAAGGTGAATCACTATTAGCTCTAAGAAAAGGAAAATCTTGAAAGGATGGGTGGACTTCTCTGAGGCATAGCCCCCGGCTCAATAGCAGAGACCTGAGGAATATCATATCTCTGCAAAGTATACCTGATTGTACTAGTCACAGTGTCCAACCTGCTAGCCTGGGGAGGTTGCTGCCTTTCATGGCATCATCTGAATGAAACTGAAAAACAAATTCTTTTCTTGTGTATTCTCATTACTTATAGGAATAATTTCGGAACTGATGTGAGATATCTCTCTGAATAACTTCTCCCTCAGTCATGTCTACTGCTATATTCAGGAGTCCGATTACAAAGGGTTACCAGTGTACCACCTCTATCCTGGAAAAAAATGGAAAATAATAGTAAGAACAAAAATGCCTTTGGGCAGTGGATATAAGAGTGACTTTCTTCCGCATTTTTCTAAATTCTGAAACAACTTTTATGTTTGTTAAGTGCATTGTTATTTACTAAAAAAACTTTTTTAGAATGACAGGTAAGCCGTAAACTTTAAGATCGTTATTAATCAGATGCAAAAAACACCTCTTATTAAGTTACTTGGTTAATAAGCTCTTAAATGGAGGAGAAACAAACCCAGATGGTAACTTATTAACACCAACTTGTGATTATAGGTGATAAGCTAATTCTCTGCCTCATTGTAATTGAAACAGGTATAATTACTCTTTCAGTTGGAACTTGACAGTGTTTTGTGGTTAGGAATATGAAAGAATTAGCAAGCCCTCAGGTCAGAGGGTGTGCCATGCCGTTTGTGGGAATTCAGAAGGGTTTGTCTTTTTGAAACTAGAAGCTACTGTTGAGGAAGAAGGGAATTAATCTCAACAAAGAGTTTATAAAGATTCTGTATTATCTGTTGCTGCAGAAAAAATTGCTCTAAAACTTACTAGGCTCTAGGCTGGGCGTAGTGGCTCACGTGTATAATCCCAGCACTTTGGGAGGCTGAGGGAGGTGGATCACCTAAGGTCAGGAAACCGAAACCAGCCTGACCAACAAGTTGAAGCCCTGTTTCTACTAAAAATATGAAAATTAGCTGGGCATGGTGGTGTGTGTCTGTATTCCCAGCTACTTGGCAGGCTGAGACAGGAGAATTGCTTGAACCTGGGAGATGGAAGTTGTAGTGAGCCGAGATCGCATCACTGTACTCCAGCTTGGACAACAGAGCAAGACTCCGTCTCAAAAAATAAAAAACATAAAAAACTTACTGGCTCTAAACAATGAACATTTTATCACTTGGAATCTGAGAGTGACTTAGCTGGGTGGTTCTGGTTCAGAGTCTCCTTACAAGGTCATAGCCTAACTGCTGGCAGGGAGCCTCAGTTCTCTCAAGGCTTGACTGGGGCTGAAGGACTTGCTTTCAAGCTCACTCACGTGGCTGTTGGCAGAGCTCATTTCCTCATAAAGCTGTTGGATTTAGAGTCTCAGTCCCTTTTCATGTGGGCCCCTCCATATGCCCATCGGCCTCCTCAGGACGTGATAGTTGGCTTCCCCTTGAGCAGGTGATCTGAGGGATGAGGAGAGACAGAGAGCCCAAGATGAAAGACACAGAGTTGTATAACCTAATCTCAGAAGTGGCAACCTATTGCTTCTGCCATATGTGATCAGTTATATAGACCAGCCCTGGTGCAGTGTGAGAGTTACTACACTGGGGTGTGCATCAATAGGAGGCTGGATAATTGGGAGTCATCTTGGAGTCTGGTTACCACAAATGACTACTGGCCTTCTGAAAACCTTTTTCCTAGCCTTGTGTGATGCTAAAGTCAGGAATAGTATTCTCAGACTTTGGTATTTCCCCTGAACTTATTAAAATAATGTTTTAACTTTAATTTCAAAGGAAGAACATTCAGGAAGCATAAGGGCAAATGAAGTATGGGTCCCTGAGAGTATATTTTGGTGTATTTTATATCAGTATGCCAAAGATGAGTGTTATTTAAATTCACGATACGGAATTAAGAGGGAGAGCTTCTTTCCACAGTGAGTTTATCATTAGTTTTCTTAGGGTTCAGCATGTATGATGTATTATTTGCTGATAAGGGATAGTAGTCAAAGCACAGCTTCAGTTTTAGTTGTACCTGAAAGTTTTGAGTAGCTAAAAGCAAAGGAACACTTATTCCCTAGTCAGTTAATCTGTTTACATTTTCAGGAGAAGGAAAAGTCCTGAAATTCAAAGTTCTCTTCTGAATAGAGAACCATAGGATTGACTTTAGTAAATGAGATGAGTATCTGTGCCATCCATGTAGTGGCCATTCAGTGAGCGCAGGGGCTCTAGGCATACACTGCCCTGGCTCTGACAATTACTTGCTGTGTGGTGTCGAGTAGGTTGCATGCTTTCTCTAAGCCCCCATCCATTTGTAACATGAGGTTGATGTATTTACCTTGTAGAGTTTGGGTGTAGGAGAAGCATAATAATGAATATAAAGTGCTTAGTATATTACCTGGCCTGAAGTAGAACTCAGTGAATGATATTTTTGGTATCATTAATATAGCCTTCTGTATTAATAATTTTCTGAATAAACTCAGTTCAAGTACCAAACCCCTTCCTGAGACACTTGTAGATCTTGGCTGAGAGCAGTGCCTCCTCTCTTTTGGATGAAACTCAGTGTAGGAAAAATAATAGATTTTATAGGCCATATTTTGTTTTTCCATTTAAATTGAAAATAGGTTTGCATCCCATAAAATTTAAATTGCTGTTCTAATGAGAAGGTTGTCAGTGAGGAAATTACCACTGTTAACCTCTAAAATAATATTTAGACACAGACTCAGCACACTGGAAGTAGCTTTCTAATACTTCATCCTTTGCATTTGTGTATTGCTTTAGAGTTCAGAAAGTGAGGTCATATGCCTCATACTCTCACATCCTCAATAATCCATCCAGATTTTACATGTAGGAAAATAGGACTAAAGAGTTGAAGTGACATGTCACAAAGGCCATATAAGGGCAGGCAACAGAGGTATCTATAACAAGTTCAATCCATTTACGTAACATTTACTGAATGTCTGTTATGTGCCAGGTGCTATGCTAGGCACTGGGGACACTGAGATGAGCAAGATACCTTTTTTTCCCTGCCGAGATCACTCTCTTCCACGGTAACAGGATTTTCTGCCCAGGTTAGGCAGGGAAGGAACTATACGACTCCTGAGTAGTTTCAGTTCTACCAGTTTGTCGGAAGGTCCAGCTGCCTTCTAATTGTTTCTGGATCTGGATGCTTCAGACCATTTGAGGCGCTGGCCCAGCCCTGCAAGGAAGTGGTATTGTTGCTTCTATGGGATGTTGACTGCTGTATCCAGCTAATGTGCACAGGCTCCTCTCTTCTCAAGTAGCTTCCCTAAAAGGGATGCCCTACCTCCTCCAGCCCTCTGCCTTGTTCATCACTGTAAATCAGGGTTCTCACCTTAGGCACTTGGCATTTTGGGCCAGGTAATTCTCTGTTTTGGGGCTGTGCTGTACATTGCAGGATGTTGAGCAGCATCCTGGCCTCTACTCACTAAATGGCAGTAGTTCACCAACTCCTCCTTCCCTGCTTCAAGTCATGACTACCACAAATGTTTTTGGATATTGCCAGATGACGCCTTGGGAGGGGGCTGCAAAATTGTCTCTAGTTGAGAACCATAGTTCTTGGTGTTTTGGTACTGAGGTTAAGACTGAGGTTTTACTTTATTGACTCTGCTTTTACCAATAAGTTTGAGTTTTGAATTACAGAATGTAATACAACCAAAACACTGAATATAGAATATAGAATATAAAAATGTAAGAATATAGAATAAAAAACCATTGATCTATAGCTTTAAAACAGAGTTTTTGTTAATTTCAAAACAATACCCTTTAATTGTACCTTGAAAGGGCAAACAGAACTTGGAAGAAAAGCAGTTGAGATGAAACCATTTTCAAATCAGTACCAAGTTTACAGTGTTTAGCTAACAGTGAACAAGAGGTATCCATAGTGTTTTATGGACAAGAGGTATCCATAGTTTTATCCATAGTGTTTTATGGACAAGAGGTATCCATAGGCTCGATTCCTATGATGATATATTTGTCAGAAAATAGATGCAACACCCAATCATCTGGCTTACCTAGAGTACCTCTGCTTTTAAGCAGGCTCTGTTGGGAAGGTGAGGCAGAGATGTGTGACAAAACAAAGAAAGCAATCTAAGTGATGAAAAATTTCATAGTTAAACGTTGGGAGCAAAAGCCTTTGGAGCTGTAGGTTAAGGTGACTTTCTTTACACTAACTTGTTTCAATTGGTGTGGCTCAGTTGCTTTTCTAGCAATGTTGTAATACTTAGGTAATACAATTGGTGGCCCAACTATACTAAATGCATAAGAAAGTAAAATGAAAGAATCTATAAAGAAATAGGGTTCCACTGTGGCACATGTATACCTGTGTAACAAACGTGCATGTTCTGCACACGTATCCCAGAACTTAAAAAATAAAGAAATAGGATTTGTTTTATTGACTATTTCTGTGACAGATCTTTTGCATCTGGTATTCAGAGACAAGCTTGAGTGAGGAAAGCATTGCTTCTTAATTTAATTGGCATTTTTAAGATTTAGTGTTGGCAGGATGTTTAGAAATGTTGCAAAATACAAAATATTTTCATATTTTTGATCCAGGAATATAGATTGGGATTTCGCTGAGCCTGCTTTTTATACAGCATGGTGAAAATGCTTCTTCCTTGCTTTGGTATCTTGCATCTTCTAGAGCAGGTGAAAAAAAAATGACTGTCTTGGAAGAAAATGCTTCCAGTCAAGGAATAGCTAATACTGTAGAGGATCGAGAAGTTTTTCTTGAACCAGAGAAATCGAATTTAGAAGCGCACTGTCAGAAGAAACATAATCAACTGTGAGCAATATCACTGTTTTTAACTTCAGTTTCTTTTTTTCAGAATGAGTTTTGTGTATCTGCTCAATACGAAGGAAGAGAATAAATTCGGAAAATATAAGTTTTGCCATTTTTTTCTTACTCTTGGATTTTTGTTTACTTCTTTGTAAATGGGGAAAAAACTTAAAAGATACTAGATGTCTTAGAGTTATATAGCTTCATTTGAAAATGATAGTTGGCAACACTAAAAATAAAATTGTTTGGTAAATTTATAAATTTGTGTTAATATACCAAACTAGGTTGAAATTACTTCTTTGAGTTTTAGTAAATAGTTTCCTAGTCCTAAACTAGCAAAGTGACTTTAGATTTTGTTTAGTACTTTATAATATAAGTGAAAATTTTAGAATTCTTTTTTTTGGAGTGGGGAGGAAATTAAAACTTTGTAGCTTCCCTAAGAAATTTATCTATCTGATTGGCTAATAGGTTGGAGTGAAATTAGAGAAGCGTGAAAACCAAAGTAAGTGTGCAGAGTTTTGTTTTTGACTGGAGCTGATGAGTTCTCTTGTGTTTTACTCTTTTTACAGTGAAACCAGCAGTGTGTGTAGCAGCAGTGACACTGGGCTCTTTACCAATGATGAAGGGCGACAAGGTAATGTTGATCCCAGCTTTGGGACATTGGTTCCGTGTTGATGGAAAGATTTGAATAATCATAGGAGTGACTCATGGAGACTATGGTGACTGTAGCAGTGGTTCTCAAACTTGAAGGCATGTGAGAGCCATCTGGGGAACTGTTAAAACCGCAGAGCCCTGAGCTCTCCCAGAAATCAAATAGGTCTAGAGTTGGCCCCTGGAATTTTTCTGCATTTTTCACAAGTACCTGAAGTGATTTTTATGCAGGTAGATCAGACATTGGGAATCGCTGGTCTAGGTAGTCAGTGTCAAGCCTGGGACGTTGCCAAGTTTCTTTTTATTAGAATCAAGAAATAGCCTCATGTGTTACTGTCTTTTTTTAGATGTTAAGACATTCTTATTTTCATATAGAGAAAATTTTGTCACTTTTATAGACTTACTTATTAATGATTATAGTGTAGGTGAATATATTATATAGAACATCATCTTCCTCAAAGTAAAACTCCTAGAGTATGTAGAGTCCTGTGAATAAGGCTGGTATGTGTTAATTACCAGGTCTTTATTTTACTACCTAAACACTAATTTAAATCTTTGTCTAGATATCAGGATATTTTATAAAATGTTTGTCCTCTAGACTTGTGTGGGGCCACATGCCAATAAAATTTTTATATGGCCTTTTTGGACTGTGGTTTTCTTAATCAAATAAGGGACTTAGGATTTCTAAAGTCTTTTCTACCTCCCAAATCCAAAAATTTTTCTCCATCGGTTAAGCAATTAAAGGACAGGTGGCTACATTGATCCAGATAGGCTCCCCAGTAACTGAAGGGATTTTGGGACTGTGAGACTTAGCGTTCAATTCCTGATTTTTGGAGAGGGAGTGTGGGGACAGCATCTTGTTCATGCCTCAAGAGTTGTTCAACTCCTCCTGGAGTTGTTGAGCTTCCTACTATAATGGAGGCTGTTGTGAGTACATTTCTGTCTTTTAGGTTCTGAGGGAGTTACGTGTCATTAGTGATTATGTGTGTGTGTGTACAGGTAGGCTCTAACTAGAGTTTTGATTTTATTATCTCATACCAGGAAAGTCTGGTGTCTTTCCATGAATGAGTTATATATACTATTCAGAGTTACCAATATTTGTTCTTTTTCTTTGCTTTTCTGTAGTGCTAAGAATATCAAAATACACCTCTTAAGGTTATGATGCATGATTATACAGAGATGGAAGAAAGTGTGGACTTGTTACAGCAGATTAAGTTTTAGGGTCTTTGGAAAGCCTTTTCACTGATAAGGATGCCTTCGTTTATTAAGAAAGATTATAGAATATTCTGTAGACCCAGCTTTCTTGTCTTTCTCTGCCTCAGCTTCATACATTCTGGTGACGTTGCTGCTTAATGTTCTTAACATAAAGCTATAGATTCCTTGCCTCTGTGCCTTTGTTTATGCTGGTCTTTCTGCCTGATATCTATCTTCCTTGAATGGCTGGTCATCTGTCAAGACACAGTTCTCCTTTTGCCCCTGCAGGGGCATATTTATGGGCTATATCAGTGGGTCTTCTTGGTTTCAATTTCTTGTTGAGGTTGGCCTGTAGGAGGCATCAGCAGAAGACTGAAGGGAGGGAAGTGAGTGATTTTGGATGTATTAGTCAAGTTTTTATTGTGGTAAGGCTGCTTAACAGCCCCCAAATTTTAGTGCTCATCACAGTTTACCACACTCATTTATTACGATGGGCTGTGGGTTGCCTATGGTTCCACTGATCTTGCCTGGGCTTCGCTGGTCTTCAGGCTTCAAGTTAGGTTTACATCTATTCAGTGTATTTTATTTTAGGACCTAGGCGGAAGGAGCAATGGTGATAGGCAGCATGGACTTCTTATGGCAGAGGATGTAAATGCCAGGTGACCCAGGCTAGACCACATGTACAGATTTAAAGCCTTTGCTTGAATTATGTCTGTTAATTTTTTACTACGTAAAGCAGATCCTATGACCAAGCCCAGTGTCAGTAGGATGAGGAAGTGCGCTCTTCCTAAAAGGGAGGGTACTGTGGAATCCAGTGGCAAAGAGCAAAAGGCATGGATGAATGATTGTATTATAGAGAAGACTTGGAAATGCTATTGCAGTCTACCACATTAGATTATGGCTTTCCCTGGCACCCTTTCTGTTGTATTGCTGATTGGCAGTGGTGTGTTCCTCTGCTGAAGGCCACCATTCTTGTTTGGCAGCCTTCTCTTCTAACCGCAGTTCTCTGGGCTCTGATAACCATTCTTTCCCTTGCCAATCCAGGTGTAGGAATAGTAAAGGCCTCCTGCTGTACTGGCTCACCTGATGTGCTTCCCCATCCCTTGTCGGGTTCCTTGTTAGTACTGTCTCCACCTTTGTGAATAGTCACTTCATTAAATCTCTGCGATGACCTCATTTCAATGTGCTATGTGTTTGCTGAGGGGGTTCTGGCCAATAGCCCTTTCTCCTTTGTGCTCTCTGGCTCCTTGTATTATTCTTACTATTTTTATACTACTCACTAGATTATGTTATTGTTTCTAGGTACGTGTCTTTTCCCTTGAAACTTTTCAAGGCAGGACTTATGTGTAACCACAGTATCTAGCACGTTCCTGGCATATAGTGAATGCTTAATAAATAATGATTGAAAATCCAGGGAAAACTCTCCTTTTTCCCCCCCCAAACAAAATCGTACATAGATTCTCAGATTACAAAACAACTAAGCCTATTGGGTTAAAGCAAAATTCTGGAGGAGCCAGAGGTCAGGAGTCTGATCCACCCAGCCTTGCTTATTCCCTGGCAGCACTTTTTTTTTTTTTTGAGACAGAGTCTTTCTCTGTCGCCCAGGCTGGAGTGCAGTGGCACTATTTCAGCTCACCTGGGTTCAAGCGATTCTCCTGTCTTAGCCTCCTGAGTAGTTGTGACTACAGGCGCCTGCCAGCACACCTGGCTAATTTTTGTATTTTTAGTAGAGATAGTTTCACCTTGTTGGTCAGGCTGGTCTTGAACTCCTGACCTCTGGTGATCCACCTGCCATGGCCTCCCAAAGTTCTGGGATTACAGGTATGAGCTATCGTGCCCAGCTCCTGCCAGTGCTCTTTTAAGGAGCTCCTTTATCAGGCATCTTAGTGAACCCAGGTTGAAGACTACTGGTCTATGTGATCTCACAATGTTTCTTCTAGTTCCGTGAGTCCCTTTTTATGTTATTAAGAATCTTGAATGAATGCTTGAGAACCAAAAAAATTTCATTATAGTCAGCCATTTGTCATCAGAAAACATGGCCTAATTAAATATGCTATTTCAATAAATGGCCTAAAGAATGCTTATGAATAAGGGAAGAATTAATATATTGAAGTATAGAGAAACTAATTATTGTACACTAATTACTGTCTTCAGTTCATCCATGTATCTGGTTTGGTGAGATGCTTTTAGAGTTGTGGTTCTCAAAACGTGGTCCCCAGGCCAGCTTAGCATCATGAAGGAACTTGTAAGAAATACACATTTTTGGTCTGCTCAGTCCAGAATCAGAAACTCTGGAGGAGGGACTCAGTGTTTTAACGAACCCTCCTGGTGCTTCTGATACATGCTCAAAGTTGAGAACTGCTGTATCGGAGAGCTGTGTGTGATGTGTTTTTATAAGGAAACACTTCGAGTAACTTCCTTAGTGGCAATATCTGCTGCTTTTCACCAGAATGCAGTTTTCATTGCCCATTTTGGAGATCACCACAGTGATTTAAGAGTTATCCTGGGTGTTAATGAACCATGAATCTCATACTTTGTGTGATTGACATGTTTTGAGCAACTTCTCTGGAATCCAGAGTACGTTAGAGAATGACTGCATTGTGAACTCTTTAGATATTCTTGTAATAATTTCCTTCACCTTTGCTGTTTTGAAAGGGGTATGGTGTCGCTGACATAAAATTATCTGTCTTATTCTTTGTTGGCAGGAAAAAACTCTTGTAGAAACTGAGATACTGTCGTTGTAGCCAGTAGAAAGAAGTTTGTACCAACAGTCTGGATATATGGATCTAGTTGTGACTTTGCTATAAATTAACAATATGGCTTTGGGAAATGGTATGATTTATTGAAAAGCCTCTGGGAATTACATTATTTGTTTCTGTGGTTATTTTTTTTCTCCCCAGTAGCTTGGGTTGCTAGTCTCAAGATGATTTTCTGTCCCATTAATGAGATATCAAGAAAAAATGAAGTATGGACATACATTGTTTATTCACCTTTTAGGCGAAAGGAAAATATAGCAAGAAATCCCTCAGGAATAGCGAGCTTTGAATTGAGAAACATTTATGGACTTTGAATCCTCAAGTTTATTTATACCACTGAGAATGGTACAGGGGAGGCAGTTTACTTTTGTAGTAAAGATCTCAGGCTTTTGAGTTAGTCTGACTTTGGGTTCAGATCCTGGCTTCATTGTTTACTCAACTGACCTTTACTTCTCTAGGCTTTAGTTGCCTTGTTTGTAAGTTGGAGTTAGTGTAGGGCTTGGAAGAGATGACATATTTACAGATTTTTAGCATGGATGCTGGTAGGTTGTAAGGGCTTAGTAAGTGATAGCTTCATCTATTTATTTTTTACTATTAAAGCAGTCCAGAGTAACACACTATGACATTTATGTGAAACCAGGTTTATGTTGCAGTTTTCATTGTAATATGAATCAAGAAGGACCAGAACAATTTTTGTGTGTGTGCTTTATTTAAAAGTGTAATCAGCCTGTAATTCCAGCACTTCGGGAGGTTGAGGTGGGAGGATTGCTTGAGCCCAGGAGTTCAAGAATAGTGTGGGCAACATAAGGAGGCCCAGTTTCTACAAAGAATTGAAAAAAAAAAAGGCTGGGTGTGGTGGCTCAAGTTGAGGTGACTCAAGTTGTGGTGGATCAGTTGAGGTAAGGAGTTCAAGATCAGCCTGGCCAACATGGCGAAACCCCATCTCTACTAAAAAATACAAAAATTGACTGGGCATGGTGGTGGGCACCTCTAATGCCAGCTAATTAGGAGGCTGAGATAGGGAGAATTGCTTGAATCTGGGAGTGGAGGTGGGAGTTGCAGTGAGTGGAGATCGCACCACTGCACTCTGACCTGGCCAACAGAGCAAGACTCCATCTCAAAAAAAAAAAAAAAAATTAGCCAGGCATAGAGGCATGAGCCTGGGGTCTCAGCCACTTCGAAGGCTGAGGTGGGAGGATTGCCTGAGCATGTGATTGCACCACTGCATTTCAGCCTGGGTGACAGAGCAAGACCCTGTCTCAAAAAGGAAAAAAAAAAGGATGATCAAAACTATCGCACTAAGAAATCATCCCTCCCATTTGTTTTTCTCAGACCTTGTTTAAAATTGTAGCTTATGGTATGATCTCTTTACTTTAGGTGATGATGAGCAGAGTGATTGGTTCTATGAAGGAGAATGTGTCCCAGGATTCACTGTCCCTAATCTTCTGCCCAAGTGGGCTCCTGATCATTGCTCTGAAGTAGAAAGAATGGATTCTGGATTGGATAAATTTTCAGATTCCACATTCCTTTTACCTTCTCGGCCAGCTCAAAGAGGTGAGTTCTGAGGAGACCAAGAACTTGATGCTTTTATGGTTCTCTTTGGGCAGAGCAATCATCCCATAGCAAGCATACGCATGCCTTCAGGCACTTCAAGCACACATTAACTATCTGCATTGTGGAGCAAGCTCAAGGATTTTCTTGGAGATTCGGAGTAAGTCTCAAAGCTTAAGGTTCTCTCCATTCCTTCCTAAACTAATCCATGGAGACTCTTGGGACATATATTAGCAGGACATTCCCTCAGCTTGTCATTGCCATTTGTGCCAGATTTAGGGAGCTTAGAGTCATATGACAGCTGCTTTGAAACTGATAGGTTATTGAGTATCAGATATTGGAAGAGAACAGACTTCAGTAAGAACATTCGCATACATATTTTTATTTTCAGTAAGAGTATTCACATATAATAGTGTTTTAAAAATGGATGCTTTTAAAATAATTTAAGTAGTTTTATTTTAATGACCCTATTATTGGGGACTTTAACACAAAGATGTTTCATTTTCCCTTTGCATTTTCTTCAGTTATGATGTACAGAGTGAGTGGAAAGAACCTAAGACAGAGAGATGAAAATGTGGTGTTAATACTCTGGTACTGTCTACCAAGCTCTGTGACAGTCACTTCATTTTCTTGGGATGTCAGGGTCATCACTTAAGATACGTGACATTGGACTAAACCATTTCTTTTAGCGCTATAAATTTATGATTCTAGGGTTCCCCGTAACTCCGTAATCAACCAATTAATCAGTTACTAGTAATTTGTTGAACATCTGTTGGTGATCAGAATCACACTGTGAGATGTAAACTTGTATTATGTAGGCTTTTGTCATGGTGAATTTGGGCGGTTGAAAGGCCATCTCACAGCAGTTGGTTCTTGGTAAAGACTGGCTGAGGCACACATTGCTTTACTGAACATTTCGATGAACATTTCTAGACATTTTTAATGGCTCACTTAAAATATACACAAATAAGCAAGAATAGTAAGAAGAAACTTAAAATGGCCTGTAATCTCATATCGAGAGACAATGTCCTTAATAACATATTGGTGTGGATTCCTCCAGTTGTTCTTACCTTGTGTAGAACACATGTGGCAGTGAGAAAATTTGGGTTATCTGATGCATGCTATTTTCCCCGTGCTGTCATGAATTAGAATGTTTTTGGCATAGAAACTAAGATTTAATTTAAAATTAAACATTGTTAGTAGTACCTTATATTTGTGTGGTGTTTCCAGTTTATAAAGTCCCTTCTACTTGCTATTTCATTGGGTCTTTAAAATAGCCCAGTAAGGTAGGACTGAGTGATTGTCCCCCTTATAGATGGAGGATGCCTAGGTCAAAGGTAAATGGCATGCCTGTGATCGTACTGCTAGTGACAAAGACATGGGAATAATAAATCCTTGGCAGATAGCTCTGTGATACTAGTTTAAAGGTCAGTCTAGTAAGATCCTGGGGGTAAAGCCTTCAGTGTACTAGAAACATAGGATTGCTTATGGATTTTCTGCATTCAGTATCTGAAGCCTTCCTTCTTTTTTTAGGGTACCATGCTCGCTTGAATCGTCTGCCTGGAGCTGCCGCTCGATGCCTCAGAAAGGGGCGAAGAAGGCTGGTTGGGAAGGTGATACCTCTCACAGTTTACTGGGCTCAGTGGGGAGATAATATACCCTATTAACAATCAGAGGTGCTACAGAACTCTCTGACGTTAATGGAGCCAAGTGGAATGTGTTGGGAGTTTGCAAGAGTGAACATTATATAGAATGTGAACGGATATACAAATAAAATATGAAACGTAATTCATACAGAAGTTCTGACAAAGAAAACACTGTCATTACAGTGTCTTTTGCCTATAGACTTACAAGCCTTATCTGTAAGTCTATTAATAACTTTTTATTAATGTTATGTTATTATTGTGTAAGTTAAAATACTCTTGGCTTCTTTATGACTCCTCTTGAATTCATGAATGCATCTTTGTTCTTTCCTAACTTTGGTCTTTCATCCTAGAATTCATTAAAAAAAAAAAAATCTGTTACTGAGTTTCAAGAGCCCCTCTTTGACCATGAGGGAGAACTGTCTGCTGTTTATTCAGTTCTGCCTTCGCCAGGGATGGTGCTAGGCACTCAGCTCATTTAATTCTTCCAGCAACCTTGTAGAAAAGGTGCAAGCCCCCTTTAGCAGGTGAGGAAAACTTAGGTTCAAAGAAGTTAAGGAATGTCTTATGTTACCCAGATAGGAGTGGCAGAAAAGAGATTTGAACCCAGATCTACTTTTATCTTTTTAAATTTTTGTTTATTTCATTTTATTTTTTACTCTGCTTTGAGATTGAGAAATTAAGACAGGGGCTCATCCTCAGTCAGAGAAGATGGTAGTGGGCAAAGAATAAGGAAGGGAGAGGCATTGAGAGCATTTTGTTTGTTCACTTGGTAAGCATTTAGAATGCTAGGTGGTGCACTGTGTGCCACAGTCTGGCTACCCTTAAGGGGGTGCTACTGTTTTATCATCTCATCAGGGAGCAGTTTTCTCAAGTTTTAGACATGCAAAAGAAATGAGGGTGTTTATTTCCAGACAAGCTCAAAATTCTTATTTCTTCTTATTTTTAAATTTAAGTCCAATTTTTTTTTTTTTTGAGACGGAATCTCACCTTGTTGCCTAGACTGGAGTGTAGTGGCATAATCTTGGCTCACTGTAACTTCTGCCTCCCAGGTTCAAGTGATTCTCTTGCCTCAGCCTACTGAATAATTGGGATTGCAGGCACCCACCACCACGCCTGGCTAATTTTTGTATTTTTAGTAGAGACTGGGTTTCACCATGTTGCCGAGGCTGGTCTCGAACTCCTGACCTCAGGCAATCTGCTGGCCCTGGCTTCCCAAAGTGCTGGGATCACAGGCATGAGCTACCGTGCCTGACCTCAAGTTCAGATCTTGAATTAGAAAGACATTTGATTGTTGGAAGACTGATACCTTTCGGATTACTCATTTTATAGACAGAATGATGCTTTTGCTATTCCAGGAGCTTATTGTTAAGAGGATAGCTAGCAGAATAGCAGTCATGGGGCCGGGGAAGGAGAGGGTTTTACTTTGTATTGTTTAGGCTTGACAGATAATGTTCCCCCTGCCACCTATGTTACTTTTTTTCAGCTTTTATAAAATGAGAGCCTTCTACTTCCATGCAGGCAAGCCACTCCAGGTCTATTGGACGTGCCTCTAATAATTTCAAATGAATAGGATAATATTTACTTGTTTCATTCATCTTCATCACCTTAAAGGGATATTTATCATTTCTAGCAGAGGTCACCACTCTACCCCCCTTCTACCCCCTCCCCCATCTCTCTTCTGCTTTTCTAAATTGTAATCATAAATAATGAGTTTCATTCACAGCTCCCTGCCAGCGAGCTGCTAATTACACAAAGTACTGCTTGTAATTTACACAGTAATAAACTGTAAATTTAAACATTACGGCACTTTAAGTTAATAATTTTTCTGCTGTAACAAATAGCTCATTTTTCACCCATCTTTTCCCTTGGCCCCCCTACCATTTTCTGTGTCTGTGATCAGTAGGCCTAGCCATAAGGGATGCAGAATATGAAGAATACAGTATATGAAAACTTCTCGTTTAACTCCACTCCTGCCCAGACTCTGGCCTAAGATTCATTTTTCTATAGCCAGTTGTTCTCCTGAAATGTGTAGCCTGATGTTTAGGACAGTCCACACATATAGATAAATACAGATAATAACATTTGTCCAGACACAAATGTGTTTGAAGAACAGCCTTGACGTTCTTGACATTAGTGCCTGTGACTTGTGTTCTGTCAGCACAACTGTTACTGAGATGTGTGTTGGTATGCCTTCCCAGGTGCCATGGTAGATAAGCACTGTGAATGTACTCAAGTTAAATGAAGAGTGAATGGTCATTTTTCCATTTTTTGGAAATGGTTGTTTTCTGAATTGTTTGTGGTGTTATGGGTAAGCTTTTACACTATAATCTTGAGAACCCTGAATTTAGGAATCAATTTTATACAAAATTCTATTTTTATTTCATGAGATGACATTTGAGGGACAAAGTACAGAGTAACAATTTTTGCAAGTCACAAAAGTCCTCTGATGTATTTATATTTAGTCAGCAGATATTTACATTTTACCAGTGAGGATTTGGTTATGTCCCAGGATGAAGGCTGTTGGAACTATAATCACATAGCTCTAGGGAGCTTGGTGTGCCGGGCTTGTTAACAATTGGCTACTGTTGTATTTTCTAAAACAGTATTTTTACTCCTCTATACGTCAGTAGTTCCAGGATGTATATTACTTACTATATTAAAACACCATATATGGTGAATGATATTTATAAAAACTTCTGGATCACTAGAGAACAATAAATTAGGATAACATGTAATACTTTTAAGATAGATTCCAATAAAAAGAAACATAGTTGCTGCTTTATTTTAAGATTCGCTTTTGACATGTGCCTTTTCAGATTGCCTTGGCTGGCACAGTTATGGGAAAGATTGAGCTAGGTGACATATTGTGCTTTATGTTTGTTTCTGTGGTTGGTTGTTACTCTTGTCTGCTTTTGTCCTTTTAGGAGACCAGCATAAACACTTTGGGTACTGAGAGGATAAACCATATCACTAGTGACCCTCGGCAGAAAGAGTAAGTGCTTATGTATTTACTGGCTGTGCTAGTTTCTCCTTGGAGGAGGAGGTAGAGGGGAGTCTTATGGAGCAATTTAGAAATCAGGCTTCAGAGCTAAAAGAGATCTTAAAGATTTGTACTTTATAACAGTTAAAGATGGCAACATCCTAAACCTGTGACAGTGATATTCTTTTTTTTCTAGACTAGTTTCATTGTATTGTTTTTTTATACCTACAGATGCTGTATTTAGTAGCCTCCAGTAAGGATGCTTATTTTAGACTAGTTTTTCTGTCTCTCAATTTTTTTTCCAAAATGCATCATTGCCTCTATCCTCCTATATTCTCTTCCCATTTTTAGACCTTTTTATAGGGAAATATCTTTTCTTTTTTTTCTATTTTCTTTTTGTTGAGACAGGGTCTGGCTGTGTCACCCAGGCTGGAGTACATTGGCACCATTATGGCTCACTGCAACCTCTGCCTCCTAGGTTCAAGCGATCCTCCCGCTTTGGCCTCCTGAGTAGTTGGGAATACAAGTGTGTGCCACTGTGCCTGGCTAGTTTTTGTATTTTTTGTAGAGACAGCGTTTTGCCATGTTGTCCAAGCTGGTCTTGAACTCCTGGGCTCAAGCAGTCTGTGCACCTTGGCCTCCCAAAGTGTTGGAATTATAGGTGTGAGCCACTGTGCCTAACCTGTAGAATATCTTTTTGTCCTAATTACTGTGGTGAGTGCTGTAGGAAGGCTGTATGTAGCCACAGGAAAATAATTCTGCCACTTCTTGTGACAGTCTTGTCCCCTAACATGGTTGGTTTTTTTCATATATCCTGTATGCATCATGCTCAGTACCCAGTTACGATCCTTTACACATCCAGCCTGGGGTAATTTTAACATACAAAGTACAAGTGTGGGTGTGGTTTATGCCCTTGTTGAGTTGAGGCTCCTGTTGTCAGGCACAGCTGAGAGGGTATTGGTGTCACACTGTAGTCTTGGATTTATTTCCATTGTCCAGTCTTTTACATTCCATTGCAAGACTTTTTCCTTTGAAGAGGTTTTTTTTTAGCAAAGTGTCCACATACGTTTAATCTCTTTCTCCTCCGATTACATCTTTTCTCCATTCCCTTCTTTGTCTTCATTATTCCAACATCTTATCTTCTCCTTTCTGTATTTTTCCTACCACTTCTTTTATTGTTTTCTTTCCTGTTATTCTCTCCCTCTCTTTAGTTTCTGGTTACCATCAGCTGGGAAAAGAGAACGAAATCAGGTAAGATCATTTTTCTTTGTCATCTTTATTTTATCATTTGGTTTCCTTTTCTTTAGAAAGAATAAAGCATTGGCTTCTGATTTTCCTCACATTTCTGCTTGTACACATGAGGTAAGGTTTCCTCTTTCTCATTATTTTGATTTTCTTGGAGAATGGTTTTCTAAGAGTATCCAGTACTTACTGGTAAACACTGCAGCTAATTCCTTTTTAGGTTCAACTGTGATCATTAGTTTCTTGTAGCATATATTTCATAGGAATCCTGTTTTTATTTTAGTTTTGAACTTTGCAGTATGAATGCAGAATGAATCTCATTTGCGTATGGTTTAGTTCAACATCAGAATCCTGCGTTGAGAAGTACTATGTTGAAGCCTAATCCCATTGAAGCAGAAGGTAGAGCTTCTTTGGATGAAGTGGGGTCAAAGCCTTAGAGCAGTGGTCCCCAACCTTGATGGCACTAGGGACCAGTTTTGTGGAAGGTAGTTTTTCCATGGACCCAGGTCGGGAGCCTGGTGAGGGGGGTGGTTTTGGGATGATTCAAATGCATTACATTTATTGTGCCCTTTATTTCTATTATTATTACATTGTAATAAATGATGAAATACTTACACAACTCACTACCATGTAGAATCAGTGGGAGCCCTGGGCTTGTTTTCTTGCAACTAGACAGTCCATCTCGGGGTGATGGGAAACAGTGACAGATCACCAAGCATTAGGGTCTTGTAAGGAGCATGCAACCTAGATCCCTCACATGTACAGGTCACAGTAGGGTTTGTACCTCTATAAGAATCTAATGTGGCTGCTGATCTGACATGAGGCAGAGCTCAGGCAGTAATGCCAACGATGGTGAGTGGCTGCTTGCTGGCAGCTTACTTCGTGCGGCCCTGGGGTTGGGGACCCCTGCCTTAGAACCTTTTCTTCTTAGTCTCTTCCCTAGCTACCCCCGTGAGGGGGCCATTGGCATATTTAGGCCTATGTAGAAGGCTCACAATTTAAAAATTAACTTCAGTGGTTATCGATATATTTCTTTATATGTAAAGTTTTGTGATTTATTTGGAAGATTGCTTTCTCTTGGTGATTAGTCGTAAAATAGATGAACACTGACACGTAAAATGTGTGTTGCTATTGGGGTTTTCTTTTGGAAACAGAAACTCGCTTTCTTGCCTAGATTGGGGTGTAGTGGTGTGACCTCGGCTCACTGCAACCTCCGCCTAGGAGGTTCAAGCAGTTCTCCTGCCTCCCAAATAGCTGGGACTACAGGCTTGCCCTGCTAATTTCTTGTATTTTAATAGAGAAGGGATTTCATCATGTTGCCTGGGCTGGTCTCGAACTCCTGAGCTCAGGCAATCTGCCCGCCTTGGCCTCCAAAAGTGCTAGGATTACAGGCGTGAGCCACATGCCCAGCTGTTTTTTTTTTTTTTAAATGACTTAGTAGCTTATTGAGTTGATACACATTTTAGACTTGGAATCTTGATTATGAATTTGCTGTTTTGAAATGAACTAGAGTGGTAGAAGATATAACTGGTGTATGTGTATGAGATGATTTTAGATGACATATGGACACACAATTTTTAAGTTATGTATTATGTGCATTAGGAAAAAATGTAATTATATCAAACTTGTTATTTCATGGAAATATAGTAAGGACAAGGCTGTGCAAAAATAATTGATATGAGGAAAAATAATAAGCAGTAGTACAGGTTGTAGGCAGGTAAGGAAAGTCATGAAGGTGGTATGTGAGAGATTGCAGTTTGGGGAGTGTTAAGCTAGAGCACTAATCATGTCTGCGTTAGAGGATCTAAAGGCAGAAGGGGACCTGTGGCAGTTACCTGGTCCAGATGTGTTATTTGCAGATGATGAATTGGATATCTATAAGATTCAGACTATTTGCCCAAAGTCATACAGCTAGCAGAACCAAGATTGGAACCTCTGTGGCAGATCGAATAGTTGCTTAGTTTATATTCTCATAAAATACGTTTGAGGGCACTATTTCACTTAGCCCTCATAATAACCCTGTGAAATAGGTAAGACAGGCTGGGAGTGGTGGCTCATGCCTGTAATCCCAGCACTTTGGAAGGCTGAGGTAGGTGGATCACCTGAGGTCAGGGGTTTGAGACGAGGCTGGCCAACATGGAGAAACCCCATCACTACTAAAAAAGCAATAACAAAAAAAATTAGCTGGCCATGGTGATGGGCGCCTGTAATCCCAGCTACTTGAAAGGCTGAGGCAGGAGAATTGCTTAAACCTGGGAGGCGGAAGTTGCAGTGAGCCAAGATCGCGCCACTGCACTCCAGCCTGGGCGATGGAGCACTACTCTGTCTCCAAAAAAAAGCATAGGTAATACAAATAGTGATATATTCATTTAACAGATGAGGATAGTAAAGCTCAGAGGTTATATGGTTTTTAACACTCAGTATCTTAGTGGTAGATTGGAACTAAAAGGTGTTCTAATTCTTAGTCTAGTTCATTTTCCACTATAATATGCTGCTGTTGTGCCAACCAGTTATTCTTGGAATCATTTGCCAGGGTAAGGAAATGAAAAGGTAATTTCATGGTAATCTTGGAAACAAGGGCTGATACACAGTTAATAATCATCAGGTATAAGTTCTTGTTATATCACTTGGAAAATACTGTCTTCTGCCATTTAAGTGACTATTGTATATTAGAAGTTTTTGAAAAATTGTTGTTTAACAAGGAATAGTTTTTTGTTTTTTTTGAGGTGTGCTAGATCAGGTTTGGTAGATTCACAGGCACACTATTAAATATGTGTGACTTTACTGAACAGTGTCTGCATTTGATATGACAAAAGAGTTGGTCAAAGCAGAAAAGTAATCAGAGCGTAGGTTACCCTTTAGGATCAGGTCTGTTTCCTGTAAGCCTTACTAAAATAGTCTTATTCATTCCTGCAGTTCAATCCTCTGTCTCCCCTTTACTCCCTGGATGTTCTTGCCGATGCTTCTCACCGAAGGTGTTCACCAGCACACTGCTCTGCCAGGTAATTGTCTTTTAGTAGCTGTTATTTTCTTCTGGACAATACTATATTCCTTTCTATAACACCTCAAATTATAAAGTCTGTTTGTGTACAGTATCCAGTTTGATCCTGACAACAATCCTTTGAGGTGAAAAGATGTTTTACAGATGTAGAAACTGAGGCAGAGCAGTGAAGTATCTTTCCTGTGGTTGCAAGGCTAGTATGTGATTAAGTCTCATAGTGAACTTTGACCTAAGTCTTCTAGTTCATATTTCATTTTATTTCTGCTGCTAAAAGCCCCATCTTCAAAGAACATTATTAATGTTCCTTGGCATGACCTGCAAAACCCTGCATAATCTGACTTTTCCCTACATGTACAGCCTCCTTCCGTATAATTTTCTCCCTCTGTGGGTGAGAGATCCAGCGGTACCAGGGAGCTCTGTTTTGTTCTTCAAAAACAGCGGCAGTCCTTTGCTGCCTCTGAACCTTTCCACTTCTTCCCTTTGCCTGGAAAACTGTCTTTGAGTTGCTGCTTGTGTCAGCTAAGTTGCCACCTCCTCAAGGAGGACCACTCAGACCATCTTCTCTAAGGGGCCACCTCCAGCACTTCCTGCTTATTATCTGTTTTTTTCCTTTATGGCTCTATCACAGTCTGTAATGAATTTGCTTATTAGTTTATTTTAGTGGGGTTTGGTTTTTCTTTTGCTCTTTTGTTTCCACTTTATCCCCCAGTCTCTCCCACTAGAATATAAGCTTCAAAGGACTGGGATGTGGTCCTGTTACCTGATAACTCCTTAATACCTAAAACAGTATCTGAGACTTGTTAGAATGACTCCTTACAAATATCAATTCTTTTAGGTGACATGGGAAGTAAATGCAGTTTTAATAGTAGCTTCCGTTCCAGGGCTGTTATGCAGAAAAGAATAGCTAATAGGCTGAACCCCAGAAGTTTTATTATTTCTGGTTGCACAAAGAATTTCTTTCCAAGGTTCTGATAATTCTTTTTTATTCCTAATAAGTTCCTAAATGGTTGTGTTCATAGATTTTTGAGGTGTAGGCTGTACTAAGTTACTCTTTCATGGATACAGTTAGAACTTCTACTGTGGGCTATAATAATAAATTTTGCACCATAACCTACTGCCAGATCTTTCTACTGAAGAAGCAGTATTTTCTGTATGAATGTCTTTTGAAAAGAGACCATCACAAATGGTGTTATTAAGAATGCCTGAACTGTAACACAGTGAGACCTTGTTTCTACAAAAAAATTTTTTTAAAAATCAGTTGTGTCTGGTGATGCACACCTGTAGTCTCAGCTACTTGGGAGGCTGAGGTGGGAGGATTGCTTGAGCTCAGGAAGTCAAGGCTGCGGTGAGCTGTGATGATGCCACTGCACTCCAGCCTGGGTGACAGAGTGAGATCCTTTCTCTTAAAAAAAAAGTGCGGAAAATTGGAGAATGATATAAACTACTAGTAGTAAGGAAGGCCTTTCCTTCAGTAGCATGATGTTTATTCATCATTAATTCATTCAACGTTTGCTGGCACCCTAATGTGAGCCAGCCTCTTTGTTTAGATACTGCCCTCAAGGAGCTTACATTCTCATGGGGAAGTCAGGTATGGAAGTTGACAATTGCAATAAAGGTTTGAAAAAGCACAGAGGAAGGCCCCCTAACTTCGAGGCTCAGGGAGATCTTTTTAGAGGTGGTTGTGCTCAAGCTGTCATGGAAGACAACAAGATTTTAATTCATAGGAAAATAGTCCTTCAGCTTTTTGTCTATGTATATACTACTTGGGAAAATTATTTGAGTAGCATCATATCATGTCAGAATGCTGAAAGTGGATTACTTTCCCTCCTCTCTTTACCTCTGCTACCTAGAGCTGTGCTGTGCTGAGATCAGTATTCGTACTTTTGTCAGGTTTCTTTTTTCCTTAAAAGCCTTATCCTGTGGCTGGACTAGGCATCAGCTTCTTGTTTCTTTGTGTATCTCCTTATCCGTATCACTGTCTTCACTCTCTTGCCTGGCGGTGTTTATGGCTAAACTTGGAAACATAAGGAATTCTCAACTGTGCTTCTGGTATACTCAGCTCTAGAGTAATATTTCTTACTGCTTTAGACCATTACTAAAAGCAAAGGAGAGAGAATGTGGACAATAATATATCGTGTTTGATGTATTACTTACTTCTAGATGTCATACCTAAGGCAGTAGATACCAAGTGGGTTGCATACATGAACGTTCTTTGGGAAAGGGGAAGAAAATTTTTAAACTTATATTTATTTATAGCTGATCCTTAAACAATTTTTTTGTTTTAAATTATACATATGTGTCTAGTAGCACATATTTATATTTTATGTATATGTACTACATATATAATGTTTTTTTCAGATTTTTTACTCATGAGGGTGCATATCAGTAAAGCTTGGCAACCACTGCTTCATGGGAAATGATCAGCACAAGTGATTTCTGTGCAGCTTTTAGAAAATGTGAATGATGACATACTGAGCTCTCAGGGCAACTGGTCACTCCTTTGGAATAGTGGTCTTCCTCCCTAGCAAGTTGTTAGTGAGGAAGGAACTGTCTAGCTCCAGTGTGACAGCCTAATGAGACTGGATTCAGAACTAGGTAGTAGGCTTTGCAGAGAATGGATCATTTAGCAAAAGCTGGGCACCAAGGAGGAGTGGAAAGGAGTAGTGGTGGCAGGGAAGAGGCAGGTGAATGACTGTACTAAAAACTGTTTCGAATGGAAATTATATCTTTTTCTTGTCCCATTTTATTTGTAGTAGGGAAAAATTTTTTTCAAAGCATCTGGGCAGCATTGGAAATTTCACATGCATCATTAACATGGTGTGTGTGCGCGCGCGTGTGTGTGTGGTGACTGTGTTATCATTAGTGGTATAATTTTATTTTGCAAAGAGAGAAATGTTTCCTGTTTTATCACAGCTTTCCCCGAGGAGGGCTGGTGTATTAATTTGCTGTATTGCCTCCTGGCTGTTCCCAGGCTGTTTTTCCTCTTCATCATGGAATTTTTAATGGCCCTACTGCCTCTTGGGAAGCATGTGAGGAAGAGTTCCTCAGGGAGTTCTTCCCTTTTTTCACATGCCTATAATTACTCTCCTTTAAGAGCACAAAGAGTTTGATAATCATGCCTGAACTATGAAGGTTCCCTCCTGTCAGGTTACTGAGCTGAGGCTGTTTTTTGCCTGGACACTGCCAATTCCATTCTCCCAAGCAAAAGCGAGGGCTTTTCAATGGTTTCCTCCCTGCTAGAACCACATAGCCCTCTAGTTCTCAGAATTGGTGGGTTGGTGGGGTGGGGTGGGGTAGGGGCATAGTAAGAGTGGTGCATGACCTCAAGATCCTTTCTTGTTTAGTATTTCATTGCTATAAACAAATAAATAATTGGACCATAATCTTAAAATAACACTTTATTGATGTATCATTTTAATACAGCCCAGATGGCAGGTGCAGTGGATGAGAGGGAGAGTTTTGTGGTCTTTGTACTATCTAACAGATTTTGTGGATTTCAGGAATACCACTCTACAAATAGTTAACTTGGTGGTTTTCAACCCTGGCTGCATGTTGGAATCACCTAAGAAGCTTTAAGAAAATATATCCATGCTGGGCCCCACTTCCAGAGATTCTGATTTAATTGGTCTGGGGTGAGGCCTAGACATTGGCATTATTTTAAAGCTCCCTAGTGATTAATATGCAGCCAGAGTTAAGAACTGTTGTCCTAAATGCATAAGATTTTGTGACTGGTGCTTTGTAATTTGCTTAACAGGGACTCCCATTTCATAATTGGCACGAACTCTGTACTTTGTTATAGTATGCACCATTCCTATGATAGGTAGACGTCTGGTCTTGTCTTAGCTTTGGAGAACCTACTGCAGGTAAGGAAGAGTATAGTGTTTGCACAGTGCCCAGCGTGTGGTTCTTAATAAATGGGTGAGGGTAGAGTTTTGTCAGGTGGATGTATGGATAGTTGGATAGTTGGTTGGGCTTGTAGATGAAATCCATAAACCAGCTGTTTTGGTTTGGTTGTTTTGGTTGCTTGTTTTGGGATTTGCTGTTAAAGTTGTAATACTTGAATTGATACTGGTGTTAAGAATTGCTGCTGCTCAAACAGCAGATGGTGTGGTTGGTGTCTGGTAGAGGCAGTGGTATTGTTAAGGGCACAGTCACACACTTGTAATTAGAAGACTAGTGCTGCAAGCAGTTTTTCCTAGAATGAGAGATTTGTTCATTTTGAAGGATAGTTTTTCTTACTATTATTACCAAAGAAAATGATAGCTAGAATTTATTAGTTGCTGTATACAGGTCAGTTGCGTCGGTGTGATGCATAAGTCAGCAGTTGCAGTTTTTGAGTGCCAAAACTTTTCATGGCATCGCTTTAATTTTCTCCAACTCAGAAGGAAAGGTCAACTTTTAGTGACCTTTATTTTGGACGATAATTTGGTCACACATTATCATTTAAATTTATTCTTTCGTTAAGCTCTAAAATAGCAAAGCATGGATATCTTCTTTTCATATAGGTCAGCTTCCTTTGTAAGTAAAGTGTTTTTTCTTTGAGAAATCTTACTTTTAATTGCAGTAAGGATGGCAGATAGCAGCCTGGTGTGCAAATATTTTATATGTTTCTTAATGAATGAATGAAAAGTCTCATAGCTTCTACTTTCTTTTATAGTCCATTGGCATAGGTAGTAGGAGATTAAGAGCATGGATATTACTGTCAGAAAAACCTGGGTGAGAATCCTGGCTTTACCCAGGCAAATGACTTAATCTTCCCATACCTCAATTTCTACCTTTCAAATGGAAATATCAATACTCTTTAAATTGGATGAGTGGGGATCAGAATGAAATAATATATGTAAATATTTAGCATCTTGGTAACCAATATTATTTTTGTTATGTAATGACTGCCCTACCCTGTCTTAGGATAATTGCAATTTTAAAAACTGAGTTGGCTTCCGGAGTCATTTGCTAATTAGATGAATACAGATTCTTGAGGTGCTTGAATGGCCTCAAATG